ACAACAGCAAAATGACGACAAAAGAACAGTCTGATTATTTCCTTCATTTTCATCTGAAAACTGTTCAACTGCTGCTACATATGCCATCAAAACACAACGTCAGTGAACCCAGACCTGTATACAAAAAAAAAAAATATCACAACTAGCTTCAACTTTGTTCTGTTACCAGGAAATTAAGTGAATCAAGAGAATAAAAATGCCTAAAGGTTTCTCCTATAGGCTTCAACACAGTAGTCAACTACAGCTTTGTTTCCACCCTACACCAGGATAAATTTCACTGTCATGATATATGGGCTGTAGATTAAGGACTTCTCCAAGATCCCGTTCAGTTTGTTCCAGAAGTCATAAACAAAAATAAAGATGCACCAAGATAGTAATGAGAGATTCTCAGCAAAACATAATAGCTAGCATTTTATGAGTTTTACTCACCAACTGGCTGCTCTCAAAACCTCCACAAGAAAAAAACAACCTATGTGCTAAGGATTTTGAATATTCATGGAAACCAGAACCAGAGGGAACAAAAGAAGCTGCTTAACTATTGCCCAATTACCTTAGCCTTAGCCTCAACTTTTATCTCATTCCTGGGGATGCTAATCTCCTGGATATAATTAAATATGTGACATATTTATATACACATATAAATGTTATATTCTCTGCCTAGAAGCTGACGCTTAGCTTGTGGGTGCTCTAGAATTTCTGAGAAACCAAAGAAAGTTTTGGATTTTTCATTACTTCCAAAGAGAGAGGCTCTTTTCTTAAGCCTCCAGTCAAGAAATCACAAAATAAACCCCAGGATGTCAATTGTTACTAACACAGAGTAGTATGAACAAACCACCCAGATCAGCTGGACACAGGTGGTCAGCTTTCCTTTCAATTCATGATGTTGACCATGGAAGGTTCTCCACAGTTTGCAGACTACCCTGAAACTGTAGTTCCTTTTCACCATGAAACATTTCTTACACCAGCCTTATTAGGAATCTGTAAGGAACCTAAACAGGTGGGCGCTTTTTTTTTCCTGAAGATAATTACAACTGTAACATCTGCAGATACTGTAATTCTTAGCAGGCTTTATCTGTAAGCCCCTTATTGGGCTACTGAAAGTTGAGGAACACTGTTAGACATTGACTCTGTTTAACAATTCCCTTTAGTCTTTTTTTTTTTTCCAAGAGGCATGCAACAACATCACAAGTCAAATCAAAGACTTGGACTGCTGTATCTTGAAACATATTCCACTTAAGTTTCTTAGATCACAGTCCAGTTAAAATCACATCCAAATACCTTTGTGCAGTTTATTGCCAATTCTGTACGTTGCACATCTTGACAGGTAGAGGACTATTGCCATTTCTCTTTACATTTCAGCAATATTTAAACATTAAACCCTATATATGTATATAAGGTAGAATCAATAAGTAAATAAACAAAATACAGAAAATAAACCACTACACTCGTAATTGAGACTAAAAATGGAAGCATCTGATGCATCACTAACATACATTTATATTTTTAGTCTAAATATTTAAGGACTTTGTAACTCACTGAAAAATGAAATGTCAGAGAATTAAAGAACAATGTCAAATATATCTTTTAAATTCCTCATTAAGTTTCCTCAGTTATATTTCAAAAGATTCTAAATATTTATTACTTTATAAACTACTGGACATGAATTAATCATTTGATACAGAACTGTTTCCACAAGTTGCTTTGGTATTACAGTGACAGATTAAAAACATAAGAAAAAGCTTAACAGAAGTTTAATTTCATCCATGAATGAGTTAATAAAGGAGGAATGCAGGTATCTAATTGCACAAATAGCAATCATTTCTGAAGGGGGTGTGTGTAGCAGAGGGGGGCAAACATAGAAGATGGAAAACCTGCAGAGAAAAATAGAACAAACTGACACATTTTGGTGTAGACTAAACATGGGCTTAAATCCCATGTCTTTCTCTCTCAACAAAAAGGATCGGAGTTATTCCTCCACCAGATATTTCCTGCAACTATCTCATGTGCAACACAGACTCCTTCTCCACAATGTTTTCCTTTGAAATGCCTCCTGGTTGCCTAAGCAAGACTTGCTGAAGAATGAGAACTTCTAGGAGGCCTCCCACTGTCAGGAGGATGAGGCTGAGCACTGCCAAGAGGCACAGCAGATGAACTTGAGGGATAAGGACTGACTGAATAACACTGTCACCAGTGTCAGGTCACATCTAACGTAGATGTGGCACCACTCAAAATAGCATTGGTAATTTGAAAACAGAAATAACAGCAAGGGGTAGAAAAAAATATCTATGCATTGTTCAAATATTCCAGTTACAGTAGACTACGAGTCAAGTCTGGAAAGATTTAGGGTTTAACACTCGCTAAACACAGGAGAGGAACTGGATGTGGCGGCATGGCAGTGGCATGCACAAAAAGCCTGGCCAGAAGCACGTAGTAAAGAACCTGCTGCAGATCTGTAATAGATATACAAGAGGAGGTGTTTATCAAAAATTATTCAAACCTGGGAAAGTTCAAAAAACATCACAAAATGAAGATAAGTTTTCATGTCATCTGAAATGAAACAGTGCACTAAGCAGGTATATGTGCTATGAAAACCTACATGCAACTAAACTCATATGATCTTTCTCTATATGAGTTCCTAAGAAAACTGTTTTCATTTGTATTTAAAAAAAAAATTTCCTTTTCAATTAGATATGAATGCATTTATACAGCTTTCATCAGCGCAATCTGCAGGCAACATCACAGCCTTCAGTTGGTGCTTCATCAAGGTTCCTCCTGACCCCCAATTTATTTAATTTAGCCATTCTAATGGCTAAAGAGATGATTTTGTCACATAAATTACATTGTAACATCCACTGAGGCATTCCAGAGAAGTGTGAACACTTGATTTTCACTTTGACCAGAACAGCTCTTTACTGCAGTAACCAACAGTGATGCTTCTCAGACAGTAAGATATGTGAAGAAAATTTATAAAGAGGTGATGCAGAACTTAAGTTGACAAAATTACACTTTTATAACTCTGATACTTCCCCCACACTGAAGTGATTGAGGTATAGTGTCTTCTGTGTTGTGAAAGAGAAATGTGAAAGGTAAAAAACCCCCAAACCAACAAACCCTTTTCAAGATAATGCTTTGGCTACAACACAGGCTTGATCAGTAACTGGTGTTGATGATTAGCAGATGGTTCTGATAGATGCATTGTCTATTTTTTTTCCCCCCAGAAATTTTAATTCTGTTCTCTATATTCAGAGATGTGACATGAAGATCTGCGCATGGCATACACCCACAAGTAGACCACTGAAGTTAAAGGATTAATCGTGTAGCATAATTTGGTGGTTTCACTCAGGAACTTCTTTTTTTTTCATTTATGATTCAGACAGACTGCCAATAGCTCCATCTCCTAAAAGCAGTCATAATTCTAGCTGCCTTTCAACAAGAAAGAAAATAGCTCAAGTGTCAATGATGAAGGAAAACAAGCTTCATCTGTACAATCAGAAAAAGTGAACACTGGTTGTATTTAATCCAAGAGAAATTTTCGTAAACAGTTCAAGTATAGTTAAATTAATTCCAGAAGAGCCTTCAAGATTTATAAAATAAAACAGAAGTTGATTAGACATAGCTGAGCTTAATGAAAACTGAATCCAAATGCTCATCAGCCCAATACAGTATTATCCTCTCGATTTCTGGTTTTTCTGTTTTCATGTGCTCTACTCTCTCAGTACTGTCAGGGTGACAATGGGGAGGTGGTCAGATAACCAATACCTTTATTTCCTAATACAGACTTTTCTCAAGAATATAAAGATATCAAAAGTCAATTGCAAATCAATACAGCATGGAATCTTACTGAAGGTTTCCTTTAAGCAGGAAAAATAAGGAACAAGTGAAAACTACTTTGCTGGAAATTTTATTGTATGATCTGAACACACTAAGTCAAATATTTCTATTAATTTCTGGCAGCAGCTTTCTCTCTTCAGCTCCAAAGCAGCTGTATCCTAAAGACACAATTTCTTTTTAATTTTTTTTTAAAGAAATATAAATTGATTCACAGTTCACTGATGACCCGATTCCCAGCACAAGCCTGGTGAGCACTAGCAATTCATAGAATGTAATGGCCAGTGGCAATATACAAGGGGTTAGACCATGATCTCATGGTCTCTTTTGGCCTTAAACTCAAGGACTCTGTTACACACTTGTCCAGCTGATGTCCTTGGAAGTGAGCTCTATTTCCATTTCGAGTGGAGCTATAAAAGACACACACATCTGACTGAAAGTTGGAGGGTAACAAAAGAGAACACATGATAATAAAAAGCAGCTGCATGAAGAAATATTTAAAGTAGCAGTGCACACACAAAATAGTTTGCTAAACAATACTGTTATAAAATTAGTCAAGAAAAAACCTGGAGTGTTTATAGGGCAGCAGAACTTTTTAGGGTTAACCATGCTTCCGTCCAGAGAGCAAGCGAGCCCGCGAGCAAGAGCGAGTGCGCACAGGCATACACAGCTCTGGTGCCCGGAGCTACAATACTGGAGCATGAAGGGTCGCTTACAGGATCTGCGAACCCTGATACAGCTACAAGGAGCACACATTTTTGTACTGGAGCACGGAATCAATTAACCCTCTCTGGCTCTTTTCCAGCCAAACCCCCACTCATTCTCTTCCCTGCTTTTCAAGCACTGGAGCTGGATACACTGGAATGAGTCAATCAACAAACAAGGGAAGCAGCAGACTGTGAGCTTTGCTAATGAAAACTGCATAGACTCTGCTAATCACTTAAGTAAAATCATCAAAGGAATGGAAGAGAAACAACAGCAAAAAAAGAACACAACCTTATTTCTATATTTTTTTAAATGTGACAGGAATGAATCTTATCCTCCATTCAAGAGCTGGAGAAAATACCTGGGTAGGAAATACAGTTTTCCCAAAATAGGAATTCTTAATCTTGGTGTTAGAGGAAACCTAAGTGCTAAACAAATACGCATAGAGAGACAAGCTTTAGAAAAACTATAAAAACCAAAACCAAATGAACAATCTGTTTTTCAGAAAGTAGTGAAAAATCTTATCTTAAAATCCACCATGTGATGAAAAAGATTACAAAGGATCTTCTTGGATGCAAAGTGGACTCTACTAAAATGCACGAGAAACAGGTAAGGTTTCCTTCACCTGAAAACTGCAACACATCACATCTTCTCAGTAACTGAGCGTTCGTTCAGCTTAATGCCGTGACAGCTCTTTTAGTCTCTGCTTCAAGGGGGAAATGTAAGCGTTAAAGTCTTCAGCAGAGTTGAGAGAGAGAAACAGAAAGAAAAAGAGAGGGAGAGAAAAGGCTGTGCTTAATAAAAGCCCTGCTCAGATTACAAAATCAAGCAGTTTACTCACCCCCACACATACCCTCCCCCCCAAGTAATGGGTAAATTTAGATGTCTCAGTTCCATAAATCTTTACGGTCCCCTTGAGACTGTCACCAGTGTTTTATTGTCTACAGCTTCCTGACCCTCACCTGATAAATTAGTAACTGTAGACATTAAAACGGAAACCTCATACATCATTTGTGAAGATATTTTTGGGGTGACCCTCTGTGAAGAAATAGGATTCTTAATAAGGGGAAAGATGGGAACTGCTGTCTGCCTACGCACACACTGCTAGAGACGAGACACTCAGGAGAGGAGGAGTTGCATATACATAACGCAAGTATCTGCCTTTGCATCAGTCTGTACTTACAAAGAGCAAATCTATGTACACCGTACCTAAAGGGAACCATTTAGCATCCAAATTAATCTATCACTTTTTACTGCTATCAAAAGAAAAAAAAAAAAGAAGCTAATGCACTGCTTACTTTTCACAGCTATTGAACTGTCTCCTATAATCTTCTGAAACCTGAACCTCGCTATAAAGGGGAAACCAGACCACTGAACCCTACCAACCAGAGATGGACACAAGACAGGACTTTCATTTTTAAGACCTAATTGTGCCCAGCAAGGCACAGGATAAAAAAATTGGATACCAGCTCAGACATGGTTACTGTATCTCAAAATAGCAGATGACCAGTTTACCATACTGACCATGCTGGCCTTTCTTCAGGACCATCCTGGACCAGAAAGGAACAGTGAACTCTCACACCGTACACAATTCCTGCGCAAAATACAGCTCCTGAATACATTCTGCTGGACACAAAAATGTCCTATCCTCTACATTTCTTGAATGGGTCTGGAGTTGGCAATGGATCTTTGTCGCCTCTCTCAGTAACGGGAGAACCCAAGCAGGACTACTCAAGTGACGAACAAGGAAACAAAGTGCGTTGGGCAGCTTTACTGATCCTCCTGGTAATAATCCCCACCATTGGGGGGAACATACTTGTCATATTGGCAGTGTCTCTGGAGAAAAAGTTGCAATATGCTACCAACTACTTTTTGACATCCTTGGCGGTGGCAGATTTGCTTGTGGGTCTGTTTGTGATGCCGATAGCCCTTCTCATAATATTATTTGGTAAGTACCGTGCATTTGTTTCATCAGACTAGCATATGGGGTATGATTTGGGGAGGTCTAATTTAAAATCAAAAAACTGTTTGCTTTCCACCATTACAATTTTAAAAATCACTTGGATGAGGGCTGCTAAATCTTCTCTCCCTCTCACCTTAATATAGCTTAATGTCTTTATGGGAAGTATACCCACTGTGGATATTCTCTCCTTTGAAACAAACCGTTCAAAAATCATCCCAGAATCAGAACAAACTAATTTGGAGCTGGACATAGGAAATTACATTTTGTACAGTGTAATATTATTTTTAACAACATCAGCACAACGCTGGCATCTGTGCTGCTGGATATGACACTAATTGCAGACAGTCTTCTCTTAAAAAACATGAAATGAATACTAGGCATCTATTCAGTACACTGAACATGTTTTGAACCTTCTAGGAGTCAGGCACCTGATTTTACCTTAGCATTGACTCTAAGTTCCATAAGCAGTCAGAGATTGTCTCTGGCACCATCAGTGACAACAAACTTTACCAGTACCAGTTTCAAAGAAACTGATTTTCTCCCACTGTAGGGAAAGTGGCAGGTTTGTAAAGTGTCCCACAGAATTAACTCATCTGTCAAGCCCAGGAAGCCTCCATCTGTTTGAGATTCAGATTTATCCATTTAGTCTGGTTCATATGGAGAAAAAAATAGGTATTTTTTACAGGACTATACACTGGGTGTGACATTTTCTTTCTGGTTAGACACTACAAAACAAGCACAACTTTTAAATATTCTCTCATACCCTGCTTTATTTCAGATATTGCTTTTGACAACTAATCAGAGGCAGCTCTACGGGAAAGTCTCCTACAGTTTCTTTAAGAATACATTTTAAATGGTCTATTTTCATGTCATACAAATGCAGAAAAAAAATCAATGAGATAGGTTTTTCAGTAAACTTACGGATTTACACAATTATCTTTAAGATATAGATTACGACTGGGTCCTAGATAATGAAAGTCTGCAGGAATTCATTTTTCCTATGCTAGATCTGTAAGAGTTGCCTGAGCAACAAGCAAATATAATCATAAACTTTATTTCAAAAGGCCATCAGTAGCTTTTGTTTGCTGCAGAAGACTGGTATCACTTTATTAACAAATGTGTTTATTCACTAAATGCCTTGAGACTGAATGTCTGTATATTACAGACTGCTTCTCCCTAAACACAAGTATGAACTGGAGGTGAGAATTCAGTGTTGAGACCATAAAATAGTATTTTTTCAAGCAACAGTCTCTAAAAAGAAAAATGACTGTATATGACCAGGACAGTGATTTCTAACTTGAAAATAACCAGTCACTGATATAAAAAGCTGTGGTATGTCATATGTGTGCGTATGTGAGTGTAGAGGCAAGAAACCGATATGTATATACATACTTATACAAAGATACTGTAACTGCTTAGTTCCTGCCAAAGACCTTAATAATAAAAATAAAACTACTAACCATATAAAGTACTAGCATTGGACTAGCAATCAATACAAAGGAAAGGCAAGTTCAGGATTTTGTGGAGTTGTTTTTTCGTGGTGGTAGTTTTTTGGTTTGGATTTTTAATTTTTTTTTTTTCATTTTGCTAGACTAATAAATCTTTTAACTTTATAAAGAGACTATTTCTCCTTAATCTCTCAATTAATCCAGTGCTAAACCCTGGTTACAACAGTTTAAAGCATGATAGGAATCTTAATTTAAAAGTCAAACAAAAGCATCTTTCACATTGCAGGAAATTTACAAGAAAGTAGCCAAATTAGTTATAATTAACTAAGTAAGACTGTGACCAGCCTTTCACATAGCAGTGGTTAAAACTGCAATTTCTTGCATACAAGTCTTTGGCAGCCAACCAGAAAAACTGCTTTGCCTCTTCACCAACTGGGAGAAGATGCTGAGGTGTTTATAGAAGTTCAAAGCATGAGCAAAACATGAGGAGTTACTGGAATGAAGCTAGAACAGACATTTAAACACATAACAAGTCTAAATCTTGAAGCTACATTAGCCAGATAACTACTTGAACCTAGAATAATCACTGATAGCCACAGAGCCAATTAAATCTCCTGGCACTTCCACACAGGAATGTTTCCATAATAATGAAATAGCTGGGTGCAGCTTCTAGATACAGAATACAAATATTATGCTTCCGATTTGGGGCTGATATCTAATTACGTGCAGAGTATTTGAGGGAAAAGGTGTGAACTGAAGTGCAGTCACATTACATGATGCTGACTGCATAAACTAATGTGTCACAGTGTTCAAATTCAAAACCTACTACAGATATTGGCTCCATGCCCTGACAGTATGCTTATAGAAAAATCTTCAGAAATAGACTGTCTCTATAATAAAGAGATGTCTCTTATACATAAATAAATCTGTAGCTTACTCAGAGGTTATAATGCCATGAGCAGCAGATTGTTTCTCAGCAGAGTGACCAAAATGTACTCTGGTACAAATATACACTGCAATTTTAATTTAGGAGTGCAAGTGTCAGAATATACAAACAGTTCATTGCTTTTAAAAAAAAAAAAAAAAAAAAAAAGGAGGGCATGTTAGGAAATAATTGCATTCTCTGAAATCTAGCTTTCATAAGAGTTATCCAAGTTTCTAACACTCAGAACTACTAAAAGAAAGCAAAACCGTTGTTATTCATCAGACAGTGAAATTCACAAATAAGCTTGAGAGATCCTCTCATTTGCAAAGTCTGCAGCAGGAAGAAGTCTGTTGTCCATGGCTTGGTGGACACTAGGTTACCTGTAGACAGGGTATGTAACATCATTTAAAATATATTCTCCATTCCTGGTACTCATCCACTTAAAAATCAAAAGATAAAGCTGATTGTCCTAGACTGCAAACCATTATTTTTAAAATCTATCACAATCACCATCTTAATCTTCCCCCATTACTGATGAACCACAGCAAATCTTCCTTTCTTGCTTGTGCAAACACCAGACACGCAGGCTACACACACACACGAATTTGAAGATTGAAGCCTATACTTAACTGAGCTAGTGATTAAAAATATCCAGTTTCCACCTCAGTAAAAGCATTATTATCTAACAGCAACAAAATCCTTTATAGGCAACACGCTTCAGCCGCCCTTACTGCAGTAGAACAAATGGTTTCCAAGTCAGTTTAAAGAACTCTCTTAATCAAGTTTACAGATGTACACAAGCAGTGCTTTCTCCCAGCCTTTCAAAAAATGTTTTGACTTAAAGCAAGAGCAGCTCTTCTATACTGTATTTTGTTTTAAGGGTTACACATTTCCAAGGTACTTCCTATAAATAAAGCTTTTCTTAAGTAAAAACTAATCAAGGATAGGCAGTTGTGGTAAAAGCTCATCTTACCCTTCTTAGTGCAAAGCAAATCTTAAAACATGTATTTTATCTTGTATTGACTCAAAATAAGGAAAATAGTCTGTAACAGCAGCACTTCTGCAGCACTGAGAAGATCCAAGGCAAGGTTTTTAGGAAGGAGGAATATCTTTTTATCTTGTACCACCTGATGGAGAACCCAGAAAGTTTTGAGACAGCCACGTTTGTCAGATAACCTAGGCATTTAAAAAAATAATTTAAAAATCCAATTCACTAGTTTCTTCAAATCAACATTTCAACTCCCAAGGAAAAAGAAGGTAGAGAATCTCAGTCAGCCCAGTAAATGCTCTGATCTGCTTCAGCAGTCTGGATCTATACTAGGAGATTTAGAACTTTTAACAATCCAACTAAGCATGACCTGCTAATGACTTTGTATCAGCACTGGGCAGGATGTATTCATTTTACCTTCAGTTTGAATTATAAAGCAAGACAACAAGCAAGCAGGTCACCATTATGTTCAAGGGACAGCAATGCTTTCCGAGTCCTGAGGCAAAATTAATTATCCATCTTTTCCCTACTCCCAAACTAACAGAACAGGCCAACAGTGACAACACCAACACCAGGAAAGCACAAAATCTCAGTCCAGAGCAGTCCTTCAAACACTAGGCACAGAGCTTCCAACACAGGTGTAACCAGCAAATCAAGTAAAACCAAAATATACCACGGTATGAATCCTAGACAACTATGTGACACTTCTGGACCTTAAGGTATTGGTTTCATAATATTTGGTTTGTTTAAATAATAACCATATTCTTCAATTTTTGTCACCTACTGCATTTAAAGTCTACCCTGATTTTGTCTAGTTAAAAAAAATCTCACGCACACAAATACATAATGCTGTAAGTATAATACATAATGCTATAATCACGAATGTGATAACATATTGCCTTCTGCACCCAGTTCAAACCAAGACAAAAATAAAGACAAAGCTTTCTCTGTTCAGTTGCACTTATCAACTAACAAAAGCTCTTACAACTTGTAAAATGTACAAAGTTGCTTTCCATCAGATAGCTGTTTAAATGCATCTATATTTAAAAGAAGAAAAAGGGCTTTTTGTTGCAAAATATTTGAGGGTTTTCTTCTGCAAAGGGTAAATTAATTACAAAAGGAGAGAATCTGTCACACTGCAATTCTTCAAAAAGCAAAGCACTTATAATCCAGGGAGCAGCATGTAAGTACTCTCCAACAGAAGTATTAGCTGCTCACTTGAAATCCAGCTGTGTTATCTGCCATCCTTCAATGGTACTTTCCATTGTTCACATTTTATCTGAACTACTTGTTCATTACAGAGTCAAAAGTAGTCATCTTATTTTTCTGGAGTGAGCAAAAACATTTAAAGCCCATCAAATCAATTATTTCCTTTAATGGTAATTTTTTACCCTCACTTTTTTTCTTTTTTTACAGCTGGTTACATGAGCCACAAGATACTTGGGTTTTCCTTTTTATTTTCTTTAGAAAGGCACCATACCTTACTGCCAGTTGAAAGTGTAGATAGAAAAGTTAAATATGAGTAAGCGTTACATAATATACTAATTGCAACCTTCTCATACCTGCCTGACAGAATAATTTTTTAAAGCATAATTTTAACCATGATATCTATTTTAGGAAATATGCTGTTAGATACTAAAATTTACTAGTTAATGATTTGAAAATAGACTGCCTCTTCTCCTTCTGCCTCACTGCTTACATCACAGAATCATTCAGGCTGCAAAAGACCCTTGGGATCATCGAGCCCAACCATCAGCCCTACTCTACAAAGTTCTCCCCTACACCATATCCCCAGCATCTCATCTAAATGACCCTTAAACATCTCCAGGGATGGTGACTCCACTACTTCCCTGGGCAGCCTATTCCACTGTCTGACCACTCTTTCTGCGAAAAATTTTTTCCTAACATCCAGCCTAAACCTCCCCTGTTGCAGTTTAAAGCCATTCCTTCTTGTTCTGTCACTAATTACCTGTGAGAAGAGACCAGCACCAACCTCTTTACAATGTCCTCTCAGGTAGTTGTAGAGAGTGATGAGGTCTCCCCTCAGCCTTCTCCTCCTCAACCTAAACAGTCCCAGCTCCTTCAAATGCTCCTCAGACAATTTATTCTCCAGGCCCTTCACCAGCTTCATTGCTCTCCTCTGCACTCGCTCCAGCACCTCAATATCTCTCTCATATTGAGGTGCCCAAAACTGGACACAATACTCAAGGTGTGGCCTCACCAGTGCAGGACTATCACCTCCCTACTTCTCTACATCATTCTCACCTGGAGTCCACTGCTTTGGGGATAGATGAGGTTCAGTTCAGGGTTCCATCCATTCTTTAACTGGCAAGGTTTTCCAACATAGGTAAGAGTACAGACAAGTATGTACTATATACGACTTCATAAAATTTTCCATCCTCTGGAGTTTATAATTCAAATCAAGGCAGCACTATTATATTTTTTTTTCTGAAAAAAATGTTTTAATCTCAAACTACTCTAACATTATCACATTGATAAGACTGGGCATTATGACAGTCCAGCTCATTCAGCATTCTCAGCACACAGATCTATTTATTCAGAGCAAGGAAATTAAAACCAATCTGATTTGTTAGAAATGTCGGGTTTGGTTTTGTTTTTTTTTTCCTTAATTGTCATTCCACGAAGAACTGATTTCTCTGGCAATACTATTAATGTGCCTACTGATTGAGTACAGCTGAATTTTATAAGGAAGGAGAATATATATTTAGTACATCAACTTCTACCATTAGAAATAGAAAAATCTGTGTTCACACATTCTTCCCTAGCACTACAGAACATTCTTATAAACACATAACACTAAGGTGCACCTCAAGTTAAATGCCGCTAGTGTTGGATTGCAATGCAAACTACTTGAGTGAAAATAAAGCAGCTAAGGAAAAAAAAAAATCTAGTTTCATTAAAGTTCATTCAATTTGGTGCTGTAAACATTGATGAAAAATATGAGCCTTTTGGAAAGCTGAATGCTACAAAACCTTTATCTGGGACACAATGCAGTTGAGAGACTCTATGTTTGCTATAAAGATTAACACTGAAGACTGATGACTACTGTACAAAACAGGATGCCAGACTTAAAATCCAAGACATCGCTCTTGGGGGGGGGGAGTGGGGGGAGGAGGAAAGGCACACGTAAAGGCCCTTCAATTTTTATGAAATCATTACTGTGACAGAAGAGCCCTGCTGTGCCACATTAGTGCTCAACTCTACCTGGTCAAGTGACACAGTAAACTAATTTTAAAACTGTGTGAACTAGATTCTTAGAGACCACTACTAAGATTCAACCATAGTTCTGCAATGATTGAGTAATACATTGGTTATGACCCATTATCTCCTCCATTTAATACAACCTTGAATCCCAGGACTATCAAGGAGACACAGTTAAAGATAATCATTTAACAACAGGGTGCAAGGACCAAGCACAATCATGGTCCATTTTTCAAAAACTTTTTTATCTAGAGTCCTTGCCACAAAGAGTTTATGATCTGAAAAGGACAAAAAGATGGGGAAAGGTTTGTAATACACAAACAGCCTGATCAATATGATGGCGGCAACCATGCTAGTTAGGAGCTAACTAAAATGTAAGACAGAATCCAGATGAGGCAGTGACAAAGCTTGTTCCTGTAGTATTACGAGCTTCTCAAAGGTACTAATGCCAAGGGAAAACCACACACTGAAACCTCTCAAAAAAAGTTTAGATTCTAATGAGTTTTCTGTTCTCTTTCAGACAATGCCTGGCCTTTTCCAACTGCCTTGTGTCCTATCTGGCTGTTCCTTGATGTCCTCTTTTCCACAGCTTCCATCATGCACCTCTGTGCCATCTCACTAGACCGCTACATTGCGATTAAAAAGCCAATCCAGGCTAGTCAGTACAATTCATGGGCTACAACAATCATCAAAATCATCGTGGTCTGGCTCATTTCAATAGGTATGTGAGACTTGGAGACTGAAAAAGGAATGCAGAAGTTTTTCATGTCCAAAACAATAAGTGAAAGCTGGGCAAAATGGAAACTCTGGCCAAGTAGTATTGATTAGCAGACCCTAACACCTGGGCTGGCCTAAGTCCACCTCTTAGATCATACAAAGCTACATCACAAAAATCTACCTGAACCACTACTTTTTATCAGGCTTATCAGAAAGGGCAAGGATTGAGTATGGATAATCACCACTCTTCTTCACGGTCCTAAACATCATAAAACAAGAAGATAGTATCTGCATGTATAGCATGTCTCCTAGGAAAGCAAGATTTCATGTTCCTGTGGTAGCATATTCTGTCCCAAACACAATTGTAAGCTTTTAGTAGATGCTGCTAAAATCCATGCCTTAGAATTATCCCACGGAGCAAGTAAATAAAGGTTAATTACTTACATCGAAGACTGAAAGATAAATGAATGGATGGTAACATTCACACTGAAGACTGAGATGCACTGGCAATATAGCATGTAGAAAGGCTAACTCCCAAGCAAAAAAACCCCAAAACCAAACAAAGCTGAACGATTTATATAAAGGATGTCAATGTATAAATTTTTATGATATTAGCACCTCTGTGACATGCATGTGGCACCTCACCTGTCTTTCATGCTTAAAAAAATAAATCTGTTAAATGAGCTAGGGAGGTGAAAACACTTAATTCAAGTCACTCAATGCATGCTGCAGTCAGCCACAGGCACAGTGCTATATATTCTGTGGGCAAGAAAAAAAACAAAATTATTCTGGATTATTAAGGCCAATGATGAATAGGAGAATGGGTACATCCACCTTCTTGGTTGAGACATACACACCTAAACCTAAAAATTCCAACTTGAAAAAAATTCTGGAAGAGCTGTTATAACAGGAGAAAATATGCTATCTCTATTTTATCACAAGGAAATTGTTAGCATGACAAGACACTTAAAAGCTGACCTTTTAATGCCTGATTTATTATTATTAATCAGTGCTGCACTTTTTTATCTAACAAAAAAATACTCTGCAGCTGAGCCAAGGTTCTCCAAATCAAAGGTTAATTTGGTTCAATCCTCATTTTAAATGTTTGCTGTATCTGAAGGTGTCCCTCTTATTAAGAAAGGGATCAAATGTCTGAAGGGTAAACCATTTTGCTCTTGCTGCCTTCAACCAACTTCAGTTAGCAGAGTAGCAGAGGAATACAGTAAATCCCTAGATCTCATTAAGTGGTATCAGGAAACATGGCACAAATAACCTTCACCAGACAGCAAGGAACCCATTGTTTTTGTTGTAATGTCAGCCTGCTGGCAAATGAAGTGCTGATTGTAATTTAGTGGTTATAAAAAATTCATTTAAAAGACAAGACTGCTAACATTTTTTTTAAACGAGTGGTGAATTACAGAGCTAGCTAGCCTCATTTAAACACTCTTAAATATGTAAGAGACTTTAAACAACAAATCCATCTCTAACACACACTGCATAATTCTGGCAACTAGTTAACTACTTGTATATATGAAAGTCAAGCAGGGTGAAAAAAAATCAGCTGTGTCCAGTCTCTTGATGTGGTTAAGATAAGAAGGAAAGATGAGATTTATGTATTTACAGAACTGCTTTTCAAAAAGTGCAACGGTTACTCGGGGGGAGGGGGGGGAGCAGATGGCATTAGGGAAACACATTTCACTGGAGGAAAAGCCATGCTAATTCTAACAACTAGAGTCAAAGCAATTCATGTGTTTTACACTTGAGAAGTTGGCAACTTTATACAGCTTCTCCAATTGCTAAGGGTTAGGCCCAATCTACTTAGAAAGAGCACTCTGTAAAGCTGAGCTTGCCATGTCTTGCAAAGTACTATTTGCCCAGTTACCCATGTGATGGTCTCAACATGTTCTCTCCATCACCCTGTGCCTGCTCTAGAGGTCAGGAACTACCTTTCTTTAGAGACTGTGAGGCTTCAGGTCCAAAAAAAGAGATTGCAATCAATTACCATATGCTGAAGTACTTGGTTTTTCTCCTGTAGGCATCGCTATTCCAGTCCCTATCAGAGGCATTGAAGATGGCAAAGGCAACTCTACAAACATCACGTGTGTCCTGATGCCTGATCGTTTTCATGACTTCATTCTGTATGGATCAGTGGCCGCATTCTTCATTCCCCTTGCTATCATGATAGTCACTTATTTTCTGACAATCCAAGTGCTACGCAAGAAGGCCTACTTGATCAACGGGCCACCTCAGCGTTTCACTTGGTCAACTGTGTCCACAGTATTTCAGCGTGACACAACACCTGCCTCCTCACCAGAAAAGATGGCCATGCTAAATGGCTCTAGAAAGGACAAGACTTTGCCCAATGACATGCCTATCTGCAGAACATCTACTATTGGGAGGAAGTCCATGCAAACAATCACCAACGAACAAAGGGCATCAAAAGTTCTAGGGATTGTATTTTTTCTTTTCTTGTTGATGTGGTGCCCATTCTTCATAACAAACATAAGTTCAGTTCTGTGCAACTCCTGCAACAAGGAGATTTTTCAAAAGCTTATGGAGATATTTGTTTGGATAGGGTATGTATCCTCAGGAGTGAACCCTCTTGTCTATACACTCTTCAACAAAACATTTAGGGAAGCTTTCAGCAGGTATATCACTTGCAACTATAGGACCACAAAGCCTATCAAGGCTCTTCGGAAGGGCTCCAGCAGGATCTCTTTCAGAAGCTCTGTGGCAGAAAATTCCAAGCTCTTTGTCATGCATGGGATGAGAAATGGGATTAACCCCATTATGTACCAGAGCCCAATGAGGCTGAGGAGCTCACCCATCCAAGCATCATCAGCCATTCTGCTGGATACATTGCTGCTCACAGAGAATGAAATTGATAAAACAGAAGAACAAGTCAGCTACGTATAGTGGAATAGCAGCCATGTCCATATCGTAGTATTTACCATATGTATTATTCTAGGTAACCATGCTATAAGAGGATATAAATACTATTGTTTTCTGTTATTTATGCAAGCAATATCTTATAAATTTATATTAATTTCTCTCCTCCAAAGTCTCCTCTACTTTAACTCCAACCCCATGGTGGCACCACAGCTTCATTCCATGATAAATGACTAATGCAGAACTGTAGCCTACAGGAAGAAGGAAATAAATAAAAGTTAAATCAGTTTGAGTACCTGACTTCAGTTATCATCTTCAATCTCTTCAAAGTACATTCTTGTAAGAAAAGCATCTCTGTACAAACACTACTTTAACATCCATCTCTGGTGAGACAACAGAACACACTGTAGGTTGATGCTCTATGATGAAATTAGCAGTGGGATACAAGCTTGCTGGGTTTAATTTGTGTAAACAAAACAGCACACAAGCTGACTGCATTGCCTCCTACAGATCCACTCCTCTGCTAAGACTAGGTATTGAAGCATGAGCTTTCTTGTTCTCAGAGTATGTATATCAGAAGCAAAATCACTCACTCCAGAGACCAAAATGTGTATGTGCCCATTCCACAAGGGGTAAAACTGGTTCTTAGCAGTGTGAGAAAAGATTCCATGTGCTGAAATTATCCGTTTGTGGTTTTACTGTAGGTGTGGGCAGAATCTCTCACCCACCTGAATTTCATCTCCATTACTCTCACATATACATAAGCCTAGTATTGTCAGATTTGTCACAGAAAAATGCCCTTTGTTCTTTTCATACTAAGAAAAGCATTTAACTAAAATAGGACAATACCACATCAGTGATCATGAGCAAAAATAGGACAGGCAGTGCCTGGATCATCCCTTTAATTTAGATGAAGAGACTTCTTTTTTTGTGACCATTGGAACTTCAGTGAAAGCTTTCCTTCATCCAGCATAGTTAAAGTAGAAAAACCACAGATAGACTATCTACTTCACTTGAAAATAAGAGTGAGTGGGTTTAAGAGACAGCAGAGACAACAGCACTGTCTAGATCTGCACACATTTGCAGTTTAGCTTAGCTCAAAATAATTTCATTGGCCTAATGGCATAAGATTACAGGCCCCAATCTGCACTCTCTCAAACATGCTCAAGCCTTCCATCAGAGCACAAAATTCATAGAAAGAGTCGCTTCTCACAATCCCTAAAAGCTACCAGAGTCTATCATCTGGGAAACCAGGAGCTTCTGACAGTTCCAGACCTTCTCTCTTCAGGAAGGGAAACTGGATTTCCCCAAAGTACTAGAGTTCTTACAGTAAGCAGCCAGCTCACCATTTTTTTCGATACTTTCCATTTACAATAGATTTTTCAGCTTGAGCTTTCTTTGTCTTTATTTTTAATATTTTCAGAACTCTTTAGTTACTCACTGAAATTATGTACAGCAAAAGCTTCATTTTTTTCCATCTGCAGAACAGAAAGTACTAAAGATAACATGTCCTTCCAACATTTATTTACATATATTTAATTTAAAACATATGCAAGTTCAAAACAGAGCCTAACATAACAACTGCCAGAGAGTTCCAGGAGAAAGTATTGCAAATACTTCTGTGGTACTTACAGCAAGTTGTCTCCTTCCTCCCCTTTTTGGTGACAGTCACTAGCCACTTAAATTAGAGTAAGTTCTAACTGCTCTTACTCCTCTTCTGTTAATCAAAATTTAAGAGGATTCTGTAGTGAAAAGGTAGAATTGATGGATTGCTATAGCTGTGAAAGATGCCTAAAATTAAAAATATTTGTCACAACTAGTGTCTCATTTAAGATAAAGCAAGGACTATAGAAGCAGATAAAAGTGCAATCACAGAGTGTTCACAGCAAAAAAAATAAGAAAAGCATCATTTGCAGTGCAGGAACCAGCCTTCATGAGAAATAACACCAAGAGGCAAACACACTACTATTCTTGAGGGGTTATTTCCCGGCAGCCTGAGAGCAAGAAGCAGTCATCTTTGAAAACTCTCTTGCTACTTAAATAAATCCATGCCAATTAAATAGAAGCCATTCATACAGCAGGAAGCAATCATCTACTTTCAGCAACAACTTAAATTTTCCCTTTCCAGCAGGAACATCACAGCTGGCTCACAGCATCTGGGAAGAGCAAGAGGTAACATAGTATTCTTTTGTCTGACCCTCTTCTTGTACAACTGTCAGTCTGCAATGATCAATGACACAAGGAGTAATTTGCACTAAGTGTCCCATAAAGAATGATTCCAAGGCCTCTTCATAATCAATGGTTAGGCTCTATCAAAGGAAACAATCTTGAAAAAGTCTCACCCATCAAAGATGTATTTTGTCAAACCAGCATATAGATTTCTCAATTTTAACCGTAAGTAGAAGCTCAACCTGTTCCAGTCACTGAATTTAGTCAGCAACAATAAAACCCAATCAAATGGACTAATGACTAACCAAAAATCCAGTCTACCTACAAAGAAAGGAAACAGAAACACATCATCCAGAAAACACATACATTCCATTTAACACACTAAGTGTAAAAAGAAATTGCTTGTCCACTGACAAAGCAAACAAGCTAAGAATTCAGGTAACAGTTTACAAAGACAGAAAGAGGAGAAATAGGAAGAGAAGATGCAGAACTATGAAATAAAAAGACAATGTAACAGACAGTGGAGATCTTGCTTTAGCAACTGTATTTACAAGAACAGGTTTGAACAGAGACATTACCTTCATTAGCAAGACATGACTGACAATAAGAGTCACTGCAAGCTATTGTAAGAGCACAACTTTGTTGTATGGTAACTAAGGACAACACTGCTCGTGTGGTACTGACAAGTGAGATAGAAAGCTCAGGACTACACCCATGAGCACCATCTTTAAGTAACACAAATACATAAAATTTTTTACATGCAGGCTGTGAAATGAGAGTACTTTTATTGCTTCCAGCTTCCTTCATAAAGATAGCAGCCCAAATAGTAACTGATAAGTTTTGCAGTTATTTGGTAGCACAACACAAGACCTTTCTACAGGAGAATGGGGTCATGAACTTGCCATTTAACACACACAAAAAAAAACCCAAAACAAAAACACCCACAAAAAACCAAAAACAACCACCAAAAAAAAAAAAGACAGACATTCCTTTCTCTGGAGTGAAATGGTCTCAGTTCTTTCAGAATCTGGCCCATGCCAAACCAGCCACCTGGCCAGCTTGATGGCCTCTACATACTACATAAAATAATAACTTACGCGTTCACCTAGTTCAACTTCCCTCACTCTCACAGAAGCTTTAATCTGACATATTTAATTTCTTTTTAAACTACTAGAGAAGCAAGACACACAAAAGTCAAAGCTGATTTGCAATATACAAGCACTATGGGAAGAAACACATTTTAGAAGAACAATGGAAAGTATGAGGGGTTTTTTTGTTGTTTAATTATTTAAAATACATTAGGAGACACTTAGTCAATGTTCTGGCTGCCTATCTAATGAAGAATTACAGCACAAATATGGACATAAGGACTACCTATAAATATTTCCACCTCAGCAGTCTTGCAAAGAGGAAAATAATGGCGATGGAAGCCTAACAATGTGTGCCTTGAAATGCAAATAAAGGGAATGCCTTAAAAAAAACACAAACACAACCAGCAAAACACCTAGGCAAAAGCAAGCAAAACCAACCAACAAAAATCCCAAACTTTAACCCACTCTAAGAAATAGAGAAGCAAGGAATTCAGCTAATTTCAACGTGGCGATATAAAAAACATTTTGTGAAGCCAGTCCCAAAACATCTGGGGTTCTATCAGTTGCAAGCCTTTAGTTCAGATTCTATCAGAAGGCTTTTAGGCAGCCACAAAGATTTATTCATCACTTATTTTGTATTCTCCAAGGGTAAAACTCTTTCTAACCACATCACACCTGGCCATACTAGTACAATTTTCAAATGCATCAAAATACAGATAAAAAAATGCAGTGCTAAGCAGAAGTCAAGGCACTGAGAGACTGATGCTATAAAGCATACAAGAGGCACACTGATTTTTTTATGGTCCTTCATAGAAAATGTCATTTTTCTACACCATTATTGTGGAAAAATCCACAGCACTGCAAACCTATATAAGAAAGCAAAAAAGTGTTACTCGCCTAAATCTTTTTCTAGGCTGTCATATGTAACATCAGCCTTAAAAGGTAAAGTAATGCAAGCACAGTAAACCTGGTAAAGTCATACTGAACAACCTGAGACACTGGAGCCCAAAGAGGCAGGAGCTCACCAGAGTTCTTCTGGCTCTTTGCTTTGCAGGCTGAAACCAGGAGTCCCAAAGTTCTGCCCAGTTCTCAGGACTGACTTAATATTACCATGAAACATTAGATTTCTTGCATCGTATTGATAAAGATGCTTACATACAACTGCTAAGAATCACTCCTTTGTTTCACTTCCCTTTTGGGTCTCCAGGTAACCATGACAGTCAGGAGAGAAGTAACTTTGTATTTTTGCTTTGGCATTTGCAACCATGGTGTTTACTGTCAGTGTCCATTCCCATGAGACACACTGTTTTCTCCAGTTGCAAAGGAAGGCTTTTGCCCTGCAGAACAGGAGAGGAAGCGCTTTTTTTGTTTTTAAATGGGAAGCTATTCACAAAAATAAGAAAGATGGCTTGCTGAAGTGTTCATTTTACTCTTGTTTTTAATAATTCATGTCAAACCTTATTCATTTAGCAATATATAAGCTTCCTTTCCAACCTCTGGAAAACAACATCATGCCCTTAAAAATTAGGAGCTTTTCTTGATTTCTGGAGGATCCTCTTTCCAAATGCTCTAGACAAGTGATAGCAACTCATTTTAAAATTTATTAAACTCTGCACAACAAATGAACCTTTTATTCTGCAAGACGGACAACAATATTCCCTAATAAAATCCAACAGGAAGTTTTTGCCATAAAAAAAAAAAAATCATCAACTTCATTTAACGGCTCAAAGAATATCAGCATTTTTGATGACTTAATTTGAAACTTCAGTTGCTGAACAGTAGTTTTAAAGCAACTTCAAGGATTTGGTCAGCCAAATAATTTAGTTATAAATTGCACTGCTTAAAATGTTTAGTTACTCAGTTAAAAAGCCTTAGTATATCTAGTCTGAGAAACTGAAAATAATTTTCTGGAACTGGGGGACACACACATATAGTAGACTGGTTTCTCTCCCTCTTCTAATGCACACTGTGATTCAATGATCTGAAAATCTTTATATATAAGCTTACAGGCTCATTGT